AGCTGCCCTTCAAAATGAAGGTTTAATTTTGAACCAAGAGACTCCTTGCTGCTTTGGTCTTTTTTTTTTTTTTTTTTCTCCCTGAAAGTGTGGAATCAAATTCCCTGTTTTGTTTTTGTGTTTTTTTGGTTGATGGGGTAGGGAGAGGGGCAGGAGAAAAGTGATTTAGTTAGTACCTTTTGGCCTCTTTCTGGATCTCATAACATCAGCATAGCCTTTGCTGTATTCCCTATGCTGAAGGTCAGCAGTGTTTAAAGGCCACTCTTTTAAGGGAGCTTTGGCTTTACTTGGCATATGCTGGGGCATACAGGCGTACTTTACTTGGCATGCTGGGTCCCAATTCACTTGGGACTTTCTATCCATTCCCTCAAAACAAGAGTTGAAACACCAGTGCTGACTGCAGTATCTCACCTACCCAAGGGCCCTGGTAAGTCTTTGGGCCCTCTGGTGCCTGGTGCTGCACAAGTCAAGAAAGGAGTTTCTGTTGGCTTCCTGTGGGCATCTCCTGCTCTTCTGGGCCAGTTTGGTTAAACCCTTCCTTGTCCTGAACGACCAGCACCAATAAAGGGTCTTTTGACTCTGTCTTATCTCCTGCTATATTTAGAAATTCCCCTCGTGGAGTAAACACTGCAAAAATATATTTAGCTTTTCCTGCTTTCCCCATTTTTGGAGTGGAATGGAAGTCAGGGAGGCCAGGAGGGATCTAAGCTATTTGGGAACTGGCAGGCAATGCCATCTCCTGTTCATGCTCTCACACATGTTCCTCTTTGTCTGGTTTGCGACAGTGATGCTGCTCATCAGTGGGGCCCTCGTGAATGGCCCTTACGCGCTGATCACCACGGCCGTCTCTGCTGACCTGGTGAGTTGGGCTTTCTCTCTGCTGGCAGTGCAGCAAGTTTGGCCYCTGGAGAGAGCCTGCTGGCTTCTGCAGGGTGGTCACTGAAAGGCCTGCATTGACTCGAAGCAAATGGTTAAGGAGCTGGATGGGCAGAGCATTGAATTCAGCAGCTGAGATTGTGTTTAGTGTTTGTGTGTCAGTATGAATTAGGCTGATGCTTGTGAGGGGCTTCTCTGTTGTTCTTGTCTGCTAACGAGGGGTCAAAGATGGAATATTGTAGGTGACAGCCCACGATGAACGTGGAGGTTGCATGCAAGGTCAAGTCTCTGTCTAGGTGCTTTCTCTCTGGTCCCTATTATACTTTATATCTTTAAACCAGAAAGGAGGGTTATATGTGTGTGAAATGAGCTGAAGACTTCATTCCCATCTGCATAAAAAATTACACTTGACACATAGCTCTACATTTGCCCCTGCTACCCTCTACCCTTTCTTCTATCACTACTTTAGCTGCCTGCACTTGCAGCTAGATAAGGTCTCCCAGTTACAGGTGCCACGTGGAAGCACCGACCCAAGCAGCTCTCGTTAGCTGGGCTTCTGAAGGTTGTCCTCAGAGGTGCAGGTTCACAAGGGCACCGAGCAAGAGACAAAAGTCCTCTAGCAACAAACACACTAAGCACAGGGAAGGAGCAGGGCCGCAGTCTCCATACTTCTCTGAAATCCTGTCTTTGGCCCAGAGCTTTTGGGAAGAAAGCCACCCTGCTTTCACCCTTTGTGAAAGGGACTGCAAACCAGAAGCGGTATGAGACACCGTAAGAGTCCTGCGTATTTCGTGGGGAGAGAATTGGAGAATTGAAACCATGAATTAATTCCTCACATGTCACCAAACAACCACCTGACATGAGCAAAAGCAAAATACTGGGTGTTTTTTCCTCCTCCCATCTGACTACTAAGTAATTTCTGGTTGAGTTTTTTTTTTCTATTCTAAACAGATATATTTTAAAATGACAAATTAAAAGTTTCTTCTGGGACAAGAATTCTCTAAATGAATATGAATATTTTGGTTTATAACTGAAATTCTAGTGCTGCAGTATTCCTGTTATGATAGTGATCTTTTTCCTTTCTACAGAGCTTATCAGAAGGGGAAATGATGGCCATGAATACAGCCTTGTAGCACATTGCAAAGTGCTGTCCTTGCTGCTTGAATCCACAGCGTGCAGAACAGAAAGCTTTTTTGTTCTTGTTTTTTAAAAGGATGTGATTTAATAAAGGAAAATGATGTAGATGATAGATTGGAGTGGAGGGCTTTCCTAAGTAGTGATTAATGGGTCTGAGCTCAGCTATTAAAGGCCACTTTACTATATGCATCTATTGTAGAGGGGGTTGAAGTAGGGACTTTTTCTAAGCTCGGCTTAAAATGATTCTAAGCAGTCTCTGTCATTTCAGGGTACCCATAAAAGCCTGAAAGGGAATGCAAGAGCCCTGTCCACAGTGACTGCAATCATCGATGGAACAGGATCTGTAGGTAAGCCAGAGCTCTGTCTTAGTCCCTGTAGGATTTTTAGCCACCAAAAGATCTTTGTGGGAATGGCCTTTCTCCATTTCCCATTTTGCCAGCATTGAGCACAGTTTTGGAAGTGGAGTAGAACTCACCTAGCCTTAAGCTTCCCTAGTGGTCCCAAACCTGATGAGGGAGACAAGAGGATGGTAGACGGATGCTGATGCACAGATGACAAAACTAGATGCCATAGGGCTGTTTCTGAGTTCAAGGATGTTTGAGTCGCATTCTTTGTGACACATCSTCGTGCTGGACGGGCATTTTTTGAGTCAAAAGATGGCATTGCTCAGATTTCTAGTCTTCCAGCTTCTCTTATGTTAGGTTCCCCATTGACCTGAAGCTGTATCTATAATATCTTCTGTTTTCTGAGTCTTTTTAATACATAATACAGAGTTAAATAGATGGAAAAATGATATTTTAACTCAGAATAGCTGTTTTTCCTCATGATAAATCTTACATTGCATCATTCTGACACTCAATATCAATATTGAATTTTAGGTGCRGCTTTGGGGCCTCTCTTAGCTGGACTCATCTCCCCATCTGGTTGGAACAATGTGTTTTACATGCTGATGGTTGCGGATGCGTGTGCCTTGCTAGTAAGTCTAAAAATACCATGGAATTATGATGTATTTCCTTCATGCCAAGCTATTTATATTAAAATGCAKTTTTTTCTTTTGCAGTTTCATTACTCTCTCTTGTAAGAAACTTCTGTTCRAATTGTACAGGCGGTTTTCAATTAAACAGCAAAGTTGCTTGTTGTGGAATTCCCATTTAATTTTAATCAAAAATGCAGATTAGTTCTGATGCATTCCAATTTCTGCACAATCTGCATAAGTAAATTGCCAGCTGAGCAGATTAGCAGACATAATTGTAAGTAAACCTTCCATATAGGCCTAGAAGATGCCTCAGATTCTGCTCACAGAAAAATTACTTTTTTTTTCAAAGCCAATTTACTGAAGCAGTAACGAATGTTTCGCTACATTGCTCTATTAACAAAATCACTGCGATAATGAAGCTGCTGCAAGTTAATATACCACATTCTGCAGCTGGGCCCTTAAACTGGTGTGCTAGGTTAACCCAAGGATTGGCATGGTAACTTCAGACAGTGCTGAAGAGCAGATGCTTAGGGGAGGAGTGGGACACACATATGGTGCCGTAGTGCACAGTACATCTGTTTCTTTTTTACTTCTATTCAAGATTGAAGTCTGAAGGATAGATGATCTGAAAAGGCTTTTTTCCTTTGACTTGCCCTGCTTTGCTTTAGAGCCCAAAGATGACACAAGCTGAGCCAAGGAGGGTCTTGCTGTACCTTTAAAGTCARCCTTTCTACACACCCAGGTAGTAGAACCTGCAGGCCCTGCTTTTATGTTTGCCATGGGTTTTTCTGGCAGGCATCCGAACCATCTTTGTGGCCATTCCTCTCCAGTAGAGCAGAACTCTGTGCTAGCTACCTCAGGTCTCCCCACTTACTCTCTCCTTCTGAAGTCCTGGATGAAAGCCCTTGTGAGAGAGCAGGGTGTCCCAGAGATGCTTGGCAAATGCTCCCTCCTTCTCTCTCCTGGCCCTGCCTGGAGGAACCGCGGTGCCCACGCAGCGCTCTGCTCAGCTGCTGTCCCCTGTGGAGGTGCTAGTGCCCCGGCTGTTGGCTTGAAGTTTGGATTGGATTGCTGGTTTGTTTATTTTCAAGCAGTAACTCTTGTTTGTTTATTTTCTCCAAACTTAAGTCAAGCCCAAAAAATTTAAACCCCTTTTTTTCCCATATTTAAGCTATGAAATATGTGGAAATTAAGAAATGAGAGAACAGTTGAAGGGTGTTCTTAGTGGTAGTCACTTAACTTCATACACACATTTTTTTCAGAACAGCACCAAAAATGCAACTGCTGGAGCCTGTAGGTGTCTGTCGTGTTTTATTGAAGTCTTGGGTTCCCTCTGCTGCTTTCTCCAGCTTTGCTAGCAAAGTCACCTTGGGAAGCCACTCTATTTTTGACATGCACATTTGGCTATTGCCTGTTCATGGTGCAGACTCCTCTTCCAAACTCTTTTTATTATTATTTTTACTTTATTTAACTTTGAACATGACAGAGYAATGTTTCAAATGAAGAAGTCTTCGAATGACAGTGTGCATCGTATGTTAAACCTTAGCCTTTTGGCATATCTCTGTAGCTATTAACATGTGTTAATGTTGTTGTTGTCTTGACAGTTCTTACTCCGTCTTATACAGAAGGAACTCCGGTGTAATGCAGACTATAACCTGTAAGTGTTGTACCTGACTGATTCTGTCTAAAACCAGCTGAAAAGCACATCACTGACCCATTTTTCCATAATATCTAGAAGTAAGCAAAGTGTTAAGCTTTGTGTATGTGTATTTCTCTCTCTGTTTTATTTCTGCTTCAGAAGAGTAATCTCATTTTGATATTCTAAATGATGACAATTTTTCTTTGAAGTATCTTATTTTGAAAACAAATTTCTCTGTCATAGTCGATTGGTTTTGCCTTATTTTTTTCTTTGTTTTTTGCAAATGTAATCTTTCTTGCTTTCATCAYGGCACATGCAGGTGAGGAAAAAGAAACTATTTGATTGTTCTCTGTGTGTGTGTGTATATATATCTTTTTTTTTCAAAAATCTTAAAGGGATTTCCCTAGCTTTATCACTTTATATACCTTTATCACTTATATATTGACTTTCTCAGTTATATAAATTGAGAAAAAAATGACTGAATCAATGGGCTTAAGCAAATTAAATAAGGCCCTTTTCACTGTAGTTTTGGAAAAGTAAAATGGATGAAAAATAGAAAAATACGTAGCATGAAATAGATCCCGCGTTTTGAAATTAGTGGCTGTTATATTTCAGTTATAAAATTTTCCTGCCTTTTTTCTTTCCCAGGTTTAAAGAGCACTGAGCTGGAAGAACAGACTTGGAATAAAGACCTTTGAAGTGATCAGAGCTCTTCCCTGGAAAAAGCCTTGTGGAACGTGCTATCCTACACTTAGGAGATTCTACTTGGTGAAGGATTTTTCACATTTACCAGAGCAGTTTGAGAAAAGCAACTGGTAGATCCCTGAAGCTCTTATTTTTTGCACGTGAATAAGTACCTCAAGGATGCCAACTATCCATCACATGGAGAGACAGCGACTTTGGGAAGCTGCTAGCAGAGCGCCTCAACTGAGCCAAAGAGAAATATCAAGTGCCTTTTATTTCTTTTGATAGAATGTTTTTATTAACATATTAAACTTTGAATTAGAAAAAGAAAGAAGTGAAAAACAGAGCACAAGGAAGTTGAAATTGTGATGGTTTAGCAGTGGAATGCCCCAGTGTCCCATATTAGCGAATGTCCATAAGCAAAGTGTCCCTCATGTCAYCTTGTGCACATTGAGGGCATCACTTCATAGAGAGCAATACCAGGTGGCTCTTAAGATGCCCTGCTGTTTAGTGTTCTGAAGCTGCTCAGACAATGAGAAGCTGACCATATCATTAGAAATAACCACATCACTAATTCTAATCCCAAGGACAACATCTGACTTTTTTGTAGGTAACGAAATGGAATTCTGAGCTGCAGTAAGCAATCTTAACAGACTTTCTGAATGGATGTGAGTGCTCYGTTAGGACTGTGCAAGAAAGAAACCACAAGAAAAAAAAAAAAAAGGGTTATGAGTCAGAATTTCTAGTAAGGGACTGGAATGATTTTCAGGGCATTATAAACTGGTTGTGCCAAGGTAACATAATAGTTGTGCTGCTCTTCTAGGTCAGGTTGAAATGAAGGGATGCTCCTTTGGAGTGGGAGGGAATTGCAAACTGTGGTGCAGAAGGGTTGCAGGATGAGAAAGAGGAGCTGCGTTAGTGCCCAGCACTGCAGTGATCTCCCTGGGCACCCCCTCGCTTCTGTGGCACCGTCTGCACGTGGAAGGCGCTTGCAGATCCGCCTGGCCTTAATAGCCAGAAATCTCTTTCAAGTGGCTAACGTCAGGTGGCTCTGAACTTCAGATTCGGAGCCAAAATATGTACAATATGACAAAATAAAATGTCCTAGGTGGTAGCTTGTGAGAGAACAGTTTGGTAACTAGTGTTACCCAGCAAATAGAAAGGTTAATATATTCAGAACATATCATTTCTTCATACAGGTATCTCCTTTGCAAAGCAGGTGTTTTTGTGCTTTTTTTTTAAGATGTACAAAGTAAAAGATTTTTTGTATGAGGTGTTTATACTTAGATTGCAAAGGTTAAATAATCGAAACTGTGCATTATTATTATTATTAGCTGTATTTATGAAAGATTGTAGGGACGTGTCTTGTTCTAAACTCAGCTCTAAGTTTGGTGAAACGGCGCAGTAGTCTTTGCACTTGATTAACAAAACAGCGCCCTCTGAAATAGTCCTGCAAAATATAGGGAGAAATATCTCACGAGCTGCTGGTGTTATGCGCCATGTCTTGGCCCAGTGGTGAATATCCTGGGCTGTTTTTGCACTCTGTGATGGGTTATTCCCTGGTTTGGTTCAGCATGTCCCTGGTGCTTGACTTGAACAGCGCGTGTTCGTGTCTCTGTGCTTCGCTGCACAGGGGTGCAGGGARCATCTCGGTCACTCGAAGACACGAGGCACGCACCAAACCCCTCACAAGCGAGGGCTCCGCGTAGGCTCTGAGCGTGTGGTTGTTTAGCTGAATGGTTTGACTTCACACCACGTGAGTAACCTCTTGAGAGCTGTGGGAGGGCCTGGTGTGCACAGAGTGACTCGTGGTCGTAATTTCTTTTCTGCCTTTGGGCTTTTGGCTGCAGTTTAGCACAACCGAGTTCTGCTGCGACATTGTTAAAGGCTTTCCCGTCCCGGTGCAGAGGCTCAGAGCAGCCTCTCCTGGCCAGTCTGACTGTTGGTGGGACCGTTTGCCCGGTTAGGGGGCTGGTTTAGCATGTGGTGGGGGGAAAAGGGCGGCTACAGCCCCCAAAGAGCTGTGCTGGGGCAGCCTCTAGGGCTTGTGAAGAGGGAGAGAGGGAGAAGAGACTTCAGCAGCAGATGCCAATCGCTCTCCCATCTAAGAGGGTATATAAAATTCCACACTCATTTGCCAAAACCATTAGTGCCCTTAAACTCTGCGCTGTGGAGATTTTGTGAGCCTTTTCCCCCTGGGCTGAAGTCTTGGGTTTAGATGTTTTAAGTTATATTTAACAGTTTATATGTTGTAAAGATGTATACTTATGTTTTACATGTTTTAGTTGTTGGGGCTGCTGCTGTTATTTATTTATTTATTTGAAAAGCTTTTGCACTGCATTGACTTCRATATGGGATTGTAACAATGTTGGAGGTGCTAGGCTGAATCTTTCTTCCATTGATTGGAAGAAGGAATTRGGACTCTTTAACATGCCAATTTATCCTGACATGCAGCGTTTTGGTTCCTTGCAAATGTGTTGGACAAAAATACAAAGATTGCTTTTCTTTCCTTACAACCTGAAAGCTCTCCCCAGTTCCAAACAAGTGTGTCCATATTCYTCAGTGTGGAAATGAGCAAGACTGGCAAAACTTTGTGTATAGAAACGTGAGTGACCAGTAGGTAGCGCTGAATCTAAGTAGGACTGCAGGTTGGTTTGTTGTTGTCATGGTTATTGTGAATTGTATCCGTTTCCCTCCTGTCTTGAATAAAAATGCAATCTGCTTTAAAATGAGAAATGTAGATCACTTTGTGTTTGAAACCGCTGTGAAGAAATGTGCCTTTTCTGGCTTCGGAAGGACAGACATATGTACTGGGGCAGGACTCGTATCCCCTGTAAGACTTTGAAATATTTTTTTTTTTTTTAGGAGGATAAATAAAGGTTCATTTTTTCTGAAAGCAAAGCCCTTCTCAGTRGAATAGGCAATTTTGTCCTTCCATGGTCTTGAGGGCTGTGCAACATCACTGTTCCCAGTCAGCTGCATCAGATGGGGATGTTCTGTTTCCTTGCTTTGAACGAGCGCAAAGGAAGATACTTTGGTCGAGCCAAATTCAGGGGTGACTCCAGCATCTGCACCTTGACTCTTGGTTGCTTTTTCTGTTGTCTGCTTTGCTTCCTTGTCAATTTAAATGGAATTTTAATTGAAAAGCTTCGTCTCTTCTGTCTACCTCATATCGCTTTGAATATTAATGGTCTTAATGCCTTTATGTCTAATCTTGTTTACGTGAGTCTGTCAGAGATATAACGGAGTTCAAAATCACAGATGCACTGAGAAAGAAGAAATTTTAGGAAAGAAAAGTACATCTGCTTAGAATTTCTGACCAGTATGTGCCCAAAGTGCCTCCCTGGATTAGGTGGTGGCAACTGAGGCACCTTGTAGACGAAGGGAGACCTGGATTCAAGTTCCCGTTGTGCCTGTTCCAGCCCAGAGCAGGGTATCCGGACCCCTTTGACCTGGCTGCTGTGGGACACACTGCACCAGAGACTTCCCTCTGCTACGTGTAGGTCTGTGGGGTGGAAAAAATGAGAGCTAGATATCCAAGAGGGTGTTAATSTTCACAGGTCAGTTTGACACTTCTTTTGCTTTTAGGTTAAACTCATATGGTGTGTGCAGAGATGTCGTCTCCTGAATTTTTGCCAGTTAGGAAATTCCCAAAGTGATTCTGCCATCCACTTCTGAAGGCTACTCCATGTGCTGTGCATGTTATGCAGTTATTGCATAAATTCATTAGGATAATAATCATCTTCATTTATAGTTCTGCATGCATCTCACTCTATCAGACTTAGGACCAGCTTAATATTTCAACTTAATATTTCAAATCTATTTAGTTGCTGCTAATAGATTTCCTCAGAAATGGCTATATGGGKTTGCTTATATGAGAAGTCCTGCTCAAAGCTAGAGGGACATAGTATGCTGTGAAAGAAGCAACATGCGGAGTTGTTGGAGGCTGCTTGTTCTTCATATGGAATTGGTTTGAGAAAGATTGTTTTTAATCAGAGCAAGTTATTAGGCCTCGAATGGGTACCAGTAAAATTCTCTGCTCTGAATGAGATTTTATGGCCTGTGCGTTATGTAGGAGGCTAGATTAGATTATTTAATGATTTTTCTAAGCCTTAAACTTTATCTGATATGTTGTTCTTATTGCTGAACTATGTCACTTTCACCTCAGAGCAAATCTGTTTTGATTTTGTTTTGTTCTTTGCTGGACTGGAAATGCAGTAATAAAAATCCTTCCCTTGCTAATTATGTGAGCCTGTCRTGTCCAGACAATGACTGTGTAGACACAGGGCTCTGTTTATCCCCGGGGGAATTTTGCTTGCAAGTGCTCCAAGGGCTTTGGAAACCTTGTGCTGCATTTTCTGCCCTGCGGAGTTAGAAATCTCCCTGTCATCCCTGGGAGCGAGCTGGGAAGGAGCTGGCGTAGCCGCTGCTGCGCTCCAGCCTCTTGTCCTGTGGCCCTGTGGTGCTGTGTGTCTCTCTCCAGCACTTAACAAAATTGATTGCTATAAAATGTTGTGGTTTTCATCCCTTATAATGATTGGTTTGCATGAAGAAGAAAATTGCTTAACATGCTGCTGCTCYTCCTTTTTTCTCCTTTTTCCTCTGTAGTTTCCCGTTGACACGATGTGCCCCTTATCCTGCTGCAGCCTTCGCACCTCTCTAGGCTGGGAATGCAGGAACTCCGTGGAGCCAGCTGGTCTCCTCCACTGGCAGATGAGCTGCCCACGCTGTGTTGCAAGTCTCTTCTGATGCTGCTCTTAGCTAAAAGGTGGTTTGCTTTACCTCATGATTGCTTTGGGGGTAGGATGCATCTCCCTCCTACTTTTACAAAAGCACCTTACCTAGCCACTTTTCTATATGTAGTACAGAATATGGCACTATATTCTTTTGGTTTGGAAGTCTCATTTTGGCAGAGGAAGTTGTTAAACTGACTTTGCATATAATGCCTTTTAAGTGTAAGTATTGGAATACTCTTAAAAGGCTGACGTACCCTATGAAGGTAACGTTGCACCCAGGTGGGTCACCAAGATGTTACCTTATTGATCATTGATTGCAGTGTTCACCTGGAGCCTTTCGAGCCATTTAGTACCTGAAATTGCAGCTTCATACAGTAAAGGATTCTCTTTATGACTGTGAGTGTAAATAGGTATATTCTATACCATGCAGCAACAATATGTACGCATACATTCGTATGTGGTCTTTGTGGTCATTAAATAACTTTGCAATTGTCAATAGATATGAATGGCTTTTTCTGGAGAGGTGCATCTGCTGCTCACAATGAGGTTTTAGCTAGTAAAATAAATAAGTACATGTTAGTAAGTGAATGCTGAATATATGTTATCAGATAATAGTTGTTTCCTGCGTTTCTGCAAGGTTAGGGAAGAAAAAAAAAGCGTTCTACCAACTTAATGATCGGTTTTAGTTGTGTGAATGAAATTTCAGTGTGCCAGCAGACAGCAGCAGCTGGCAGTTGGTCGTTCTGCATCTCTAGGAGGCACCGAGTCTCGCCGCATCTGCAGGCTGCATCTGCAAACCCAGGCACTTGCTCAGTGCCCGTCTCTGCAGGCTCCTTCCTCTCTCCTTTGCAAGTTCCAGGGACTAAGCAGAGGCTGCAGTCAGRAGCTTGAGAAGATTTCTTTGGAAAAAGAGCTGGGTCCGCTGAAAAATCAGTTAATGAATTAAAAAAAAAAAAAAAAAGGCAGTTCAGTTTTGGAAGCAAGATGAAAAGGTAGCAGAAGACATCAGGTAATGACCCAACTAAAATGCAGGCTGTAGCTAGGCTGAGTTGAACATGGGTGCTGACAGAGATCCTGTGGCTCCCCCAGGAGATTCTCCTGCTCTTATCATCTTTATAGTGTCTTTTTAAAATAAAACTTAAAAAGCTGTTTCTCATTGTTTCTCATTATTCCTTACTCCAAGGGGTCACCTTCTTGTGCAAGCCTTATGCTGCAGTTGTAGGGCTTTTCCCAAAACTGCAGGATGCTGATTTCAGATTTGTTAGAGAATTCCCTTTTGTGGCTTGTGATCTATGACCAGATAAGTTTGTTTGTTTGCTTGTTTGTTTGACACAAAGACTTTGGAGAGATTAAATCGCACCGAGGAATTACGGCAGAGCTTAGGTAAGATAAATTGGTTTAACCTTATCTACCTGCCAGTATTTCGGCAATTGTACTCACAAGCAATAGCAGATATCTAATCAGAGTCCTTAGTTCCAGGAATTAATTCTCTTCTCACTTGCGTAGCTCAGGAGTGAGCAATTTGAGAACCCAAGGATTTTATTTAAGTGCTTAATTGTCATCTTCAGCACTGCACTTCTTCAGTTTATCTGGTAACACAACCCAGGGCAGGTGGCCTCAGTTTCTTAGGTTAGTCAGAAATCAACAGCAGCTCCTATGAAGGTCAGAACTCAAAGCAGCAGCCCGAGTTCACATACTAAGGAGTACAGACACATCCGTGTGTGTGTGTAAGCAGTCACACAAGCGCATATATATAATACACATTTTATATTTATATATAATTTTTATATATATTTATATATATTTATATATATACACGATGTACAAGCACGTACTGATGTGTTCACAGAAGCTCTCTGCAGCTACCTGAAAGAAGGTTGCTGTGAAGGCAGAGGTTGGTCTCTTCTCCAGAATGATTATGGATAGGAAATGGTCTCAAATTGGGAGGTTCAGGTTAAACATTAGGAAACATTTGTACAGAGAAAGAGTGGTCAAACCCTGGAACAGGCTGCCCAGGGAAGCAGCAGGGTCACCGTCCCTGGCCGAACATGTGGATGAGGCGCTTAGGGACCTGGTTTAGCAGCCCTGATGGGGGTGGGCTTACGGTTGGACTCGATGATCTCCAAGGTCTTTTCCAACCATAACAATTATATGATTCTAAGTTACAGCACAAATCTGGAACCAGGTGAAAAGAGAGCCAGTATTTCACCACTTACTAGACAAAGGTAGTCTAGCTCAGAAGAAAAAAAAAAAAAAAGGCAACAAAAGAAATTAAAAACTTATAGATAACTTCCGAGTTCTCACCTTTTCAATTTTGCAATATAGAGGGCATAGACCGAGTGTAGCAGCCACCTAAGGTACAAGCAAAACCTTTGGATGCACTGGATTTCTTCAGAATTTTCTGCCAGACGTACTGATGTTATTTCTGCTGTGGAGGTTGGAGTATTATACTTGAGTCTGACTCATCCAATCTCACTATAGAACATGYAAGACTTTGGCTTCGTAATTACAGCGGGTTCCGAATCTGTTATTAAACTACTGTTATCGTCTGCTGGGAAACATGTGAACGCTTTGTTGCTTTGTGGCAGAACCTGGATGTCTGGCTCCATGCTGGCACATAGAGCTAGTAATGGGTAATGCAGGGATTCAATTCAGCCACTGCTGTTGASTCTTTATAAAAAGCATCCTCCCCCTTTTCCTCTTTCTGCAACCTTTCTGTTAGGTGAAAAGAATAAAGTGCRTTAGTGAAGGAGGGAAGTTCTCCACCCCAAAAGGAAGACGGACCRCAGAGATGTGTGGGCTCCTGTGTGCTGGGGTGGCCGTCGCCTGTGGCCATGCAGGGCCCTTCAGGCAGCCCCGAGCAGCTCTTGGCTTTCCTCTTGGCTTGGTCAGGGGTTAGAAGTAGAAAAGTTTGCTTGCTTACTTTGTGCTGGGAAAGTGTATTGCCACAGCTGGGCTGCGTATCTGGTTGCAAAGCAGCGTCGCTGCTTAAAGCGACAAGAAACATTCTGTTTTCCTTGCTCTGGTTTTCACGCTGGCAGTYCTCAGTAGAGGGGTTGGAAATACARCCCAGAAACRCAAAACTGGGCTCACCAGCAAATCTGTATTGCAAATAGAGAAGCCTGAGGATGTGTGTTTTAGTGTGGTACCGACAGGAGAGCTGCAGTCGACAACCTGGCTTCTTGTAGTCTTTGCTGTTGGGCAAATCTGGAAGCTCTAAAACTAATGCCTCCAGATTCAGTAAATAATTTTTGAGATGGCAAAAATCCCTCTCCAGCAAAGCATCTACAAATGGTGGATTGATTAAAATCCCTGAAYGTTTGAAATAAAACTAATGCGTCTGGTTTTCAGAATAATTTTATCATCACCGTCATTTGAAGCAAGGCCWCCTGCTAGAAAGGTTACAGATAATGTATAGCAGCAAGGAGAGCAAGGTCCTGTGTTTCCCTCCTTGCAGCGCTCTAATAGCACAGTGCAGCTGTCGAAGCAACATCTAAATCTCATTCCTTTGTGTGATCGGGAAGGAAATATTATTTCTAAGCACAGCYTGGTTCCCAAAGGCACTGTTCTCTAAGTTTTCCCAGGCCTGTAAAAAGCAATCAAAATGAATGATTAGCAGCTTCACTGCTGTTACCTGTGCATCTCAATATCCAGAACTACCTCCTAAGCTGTTTTTCTGTTCCTATTTCTGTTGAATTTGTCCATGTAATTGCATTCTGTTGAGAATAATATGCACCCTCACACACATCCTGTTATAAACTGCAATGCTAGTCTTTTTTTCTTTTTTTTTTTTTTTTTTTTTTAATGACAAGAAGTAGTTATCAAGTGAGTTCTTAGGTGCTGCATGACTTTCTGGCAATTTTAATATTCCATGGCTGCAGTCTATTTTCAAGCAAGTTTGCTCAAGTAATTACTTCATGAATTTTAGTTCGTTTCACCCAGAATCAAATTCTGGTTCCATTTCYRAGCGTGCAGCCTCTGCGCGGCTCCRCTCACGCAGCTACCTCAGCGTTTTGTAGCAGTGAACACTCCCCACGGGATGCTCCGGCTAACGGAGCCTGGGCCTCAACGCCAAAGGCGGAGTGCTTTCCCAGAATGGTCAATGGTGATGGATTTGTTTCTCCGGGGAACTTGGCAGAGTTTAAACCTCCTCACCTTTAGCATATGAAGCAGAGTCGGTTGCTGAAGCTGGCAGGCTCTCAAGCAGTCGTGTCAAGGAAACAAGGCACAGATGCACCCGGAGAGCAGCAAGGACACTGTGAAGAAAATGGACCCCAAAGGCACGAGAAGAGCACACCACCTCTCTGAGGTCCCAGCAAGATTTCTCCACTTGATCTGCTCAATGTTCTGCTCTCCTAATGGAGGACTTCATGGAAATTCCTACAGGTCACGTTCAGCAATGCGAAGGAGATAGAAATGGCAAAGTTTTGCCCGCCATCTATTGCGTATGATGCTATAGCATGCTAGCACTGCTTTATCTATAGTAGCTACCACGCATCTCAGCTGGAAGGGTATTGTTCATAATGCATGAAAGCTTAAAAATTTACAGAGCCTCTCCTTTCAATGTGCTCAGACACGCTCACACAGACCAGGTGCGCTTTGAACAGGAGCTCTGCAGCAACACGTAAAGTTCTTCAAAAAAAAGCAATCTTGTGTCACTTGCTCATGAACACTCTGTGTAGCAGACGAATACAAACAGACTCAAAGCACCATTTTATTGTGGGAAACCATGTGATGCTTTGCCTGGGGCCTTCTCCCTCACAAACGCAGAGGTCGAGCACTCACATGTCCCAAAGAAAAGCGGGTCTTCAGCTCCTCCGTAGGAATCCTGCTTTAGTGATAAGAAGTAGTTCTGGCTCTGTAGCTTTTCCTCTTCTAACTGGCACCGTTCCTTGGAGAGAAGGACAGTGAGTTGCATTGCTAACAGGGGAGGCTAAGACATAATGGGAAGTGATACAGGGGCTGTGGCCCTCAAATGAAATGGGTCAGGGAGAAAAGGGTGGACAACCCCCGACCATTATGGTTGAGCCTGCACATCCTAGGGCAGATACGCTGGGGAGCCGAGTATTGATCAGGGGACACGATGAGAAAGCAAAGCAAAGGAAAAGAAGCAAAAGAAAACAAAAAAAGACTGAGAGTGCATGAAAAAAGATGAGGAGTTGGAAAGTAGAGTCATCCACAGCTTTGTGCCCTTTTTGATGGCCAATCATTGGATTTTTACTTTGCTTATATTTGTTCATGTATTTCTTTGACTTGCTCAACTTCTTAACAGAAAAAATTGCTCATTGCCTACCGGAAAGTCAGTGCTCCCTTTTGAAATGTTAATGTGTTGTCAGAACTCCAAAAGAGAGCAAAAGGTTTATCCAAACCCCGTCTGTGGTCACCAACGTCAGGATAACACACGAGATACGCAGAAGGGTTGGCAGCTGGCATCCCTTCTGTTTCATCTTCCCGACTTCAGTGCTGCCCCTGCTCCTGACTGTACCATTGAATGTATGATATTTACTGATTTCCTCAGAAAACGGAGTATTTTCACTCCATAAGAAACTCAGTATTTTTTTGGTTTAGTTTGGTTTGGGTTTTTTTTTTTTTTTTTTTTT